TTCATAGTCCCATTAGGGAGGGGGAAGGGGGTGGGAGCTAGTATAGCTTAAGCACAGTTACAGTTCGAGTGTACTTTCGTCAATAGATCTCTTTAGCTTAATATATTTTTAATATATATATATTTTAATATTTTTTTTGTTTGTACTTAATGTAATGATAATACTCCAAACTTCGTTTTACTCACGAGCATATGTACCCTTAATTTATGAAAAGCGGAAAGAAGCAAAAGCGGCTTAAGAAAAGTCTCTTTAAACAGACTAGCTATGTCACCTGCGAATTGGACTTATTAATTAATACACGTACCAGTTTGTCAAGAGACGTGTATTCTTAACTGAATTGTCATTTTTCCTTTTAACCAGATATCCAGACATACTTGTTATGCTGCTTCTCGTGTAACTTTTCTTCCAATAGTTTATCAAAACAGTAGAGGTGTCCCACCCTGCCTTAACTCTTACACACCAAATATTCTTGCTTGAGCATATTCCAGAAGTTTATGGTCTTTCCAATTTATCAAGTCATTGAACACGACAAAGCCTAACAAGAAAGATCGTCCCTTACTTTTTTATGGAAAAATAATTGTTGACCTAAGCGATGGGCGTAAATAATCGAACAGAGGAGTAGTTGGAAACTTCTGCATTGGAAGCGAAGAAGCTTACTTGCCTCTTGTGCAGTTTATCAAAGCAAGGTTGTTACCAAAAAATCCAATTTCTTTCTTTGTAGAATAACAACGTCTTTACTGTTTCATCGTCAGTGTTAAAGAAAAGGCTTCGTTATTATTTGGAAGATAGATAAACAGGCCTGGATTTTTTATTTTCTTGTAGGAAGGACTATTTGAGCATTTACCATCAAAGCAACGTTCTGATTGGCAGATATTGCGGTCATTTGACGTACAATTTGGCAGTGATGGCTGCCGGGAATTACACAGTCATTAATTTCCACTCGCAAAACTTTAAGACAGGAAAGAGTGGATTCAGATTACATTTCAGTGAATTACCTCGAAATGGTAAGTGCAGTCAAGGGACAACATTGTAATATATCAATTTATTTGGGACATAATAGAGAGGAGAAGTGTGACGTCACGTTACCATGGTAACACAAAACCAACGACGACGGAGACGGCAAGAAGAACGGCAAAAATAATATGTTTATATTAACAAACAACAACTTTGCACGTGTATCACGCTATTTTGTACATTTCTTTGCCGTCGTTGCACCACTACGACATGAGACTTCCTAATTCCACGAGCCCGCTTGGGGTAGGTGAACAGAACACAGACATTGTCGCTTTCTTTTTCTAAACTTGGATAACAATAGATAACAGTGCCAAAGAGAATTTCGCCAAGATTTTTCAAATTAAATGAAATTGAATAGGATCAGTGAAGATTGAAATAGTGCGAATACACTTTTAAGTGACTTTATCGGTTTGTTGTCATCCAAAATTTTTCTACCATGGCAACTTGACGAAACGACTTCTCTTCTCTATTCTCAAAATGAATAGTTTCGTGAGGTCTTGACAAGTGAAATTTCTCTCCTAATGGAAGTAGGGGGGTTTCGCTCGAACGGGGTATCTTTTTCAGGCTTCAGGTATGAAAAGGATTTCACTAGTCGAACTATTTAAGGTGGCTGAACACAGTTTTGCGCGCGGTCAGCGGTAACTCGCGTGGCGGCGCGTGTTTTAAAATGGCAGCGAAAAAAGCAGTGTAACAGAGAAGACGATTTCTCAAAATCTACTCATTAAAATTTTGTGATATTTGGCAGAATTTTTCCTTTTATCGTATTTTAAATAATGAGAACTTTAAAATGGAAGTTGAACAGACGAATTTTGTGACACATTTAATAATTACAGTACAATTGTATTATTGATTATCTTTAAACTTGTCTGTTAAGATTTGATCAAATATGTTTCAAATGGTAATGATTAATAATAGTAAGCTGTGTGCCAGTTTATAGGAAAATCTAATGAGCGAACTTTATGTAAACTGAGCAAAAGTGAAATTTTAAGGTTGTATTCAATCGTTCATGTTGCCATGGAAACTACAAAAACGTCACATTTTACCTGTCAATCAAAACCTTTCATCAATATATTTTTCACTTGCCAAGTTTCAGCTTGTGAGCTGCAACCTTTCTCTTGCCATGATTTGGCAAATAATATATACTCACAAACTGCCAAAACTGTGTTCAGCCACCTTAAAGGGGTAGGGAAATCTGTCATTTGGGTCTGTGAAAGGGCTCAGAAGGGCTAACAGATGAATTTTATGGCTTTATAAAGTCGAGAAAACGTTATACTTTTGTGATTGATTCCTATTTAAAAGACAGTGCATTTAAAGCAGTAGTGAAAAGGGGTGCAAAGTTACACGGTATGTGAAAAGGGTACCATTTGTCAAAAGAAAGTATACGGAAGGGGTACTTTTTCGCGAAAAATGGTATATAAAAGGAAGGTATTCCCATGGCAACTACATTCTCTACGAGTGCTACTTAGAAAAAAAAATTGGCAGTCTATGACTGCATCAATGGCTCACTGCATAGCTTCATCCAAATAAGGGACGACGTCTGACATTTGCAGACTTCATAGTAAGCTAAATGATAATGGATTAACCAGAACGAAACCAGAGTAGAACAAAGTAGCAAGACAACTCTGGGTATGAAGTGTGACATAGTGATACAGCGGTACATGTCACGCTAATGTTTAATAGGTACCAGTCCAAAAGATAAGTCAGACAACGAGAAAGAGTTGAGTTAAACGTAACGTAATAAGTTTTATTTGAGACGTATATTTCATACTTAAAGTATTAGATATAAATCATCTGTGCTTTTAAAAGAATAAATAGCTGTAATATTATTTCGTATATTTCAAGTAACACTAGGGCAATAGCGCTAGAACGAAACAACGACGTTAAGTACGTCAAGGTCTCTGAAAGGTCGGACGGTTCTTTTGTACATAGGAATAAATATAGACTTCAAAGCTACACATTTGTTGAGCAAATTAAAAAAGATGGCATTCCCGGTAACCTTATGGGAAGGGATCGCAGAGAGGGAAAAATCAAGTAGCCATCTAGTAGCAGATGGAGGCCAGGAGAGGCGTATGGTCACAAGGCATGCCGGATTCTGAAACTTTTACCCGGAAGTTCAAAAACGTTTGCTGAAACTGGCACCTTCCCTTTTCGACTTTAACGAAAAAAAACAATTCAAGTTTATTTTGATTTCTTTTGGTTAAAGTTGTTGTTGATTGTTTTGTCTTGCACTTTTTTTCTTGCAACAATAAAGATTGCTATATTTGTAATAACATATGAGCAGATTATTAAAAATGTACTCACTTACAAATAGAAGAGAAATAAACGTACACTTTTAGATTATCTTTTCATTTCTTTGGCAGAGCTATGTGGTTCAGCGATGAATAATACACTGAGATCCCCTGTATATGTACAAAGTTATCCACCAAATATGAACTGCGTCTATAATATTTCACTTCCACATGGGAAGGTGCAAAAGCTTGTATTTCAGATATTTGACCTGGCAATTGATCCAGAATGCAGGTGAGAGTACTATTACCACACGTTTAGTTCTCAGGTGTTAAGCTCTTTAGCGACAGAGTACTTAACTTGAGACTTTAGTCTGCAGTCTTCTCTTTTGGGAGAATCTTCAATTCAATGCTAGAGTTCTCAAATGAAGCTTGTTTTTTTTTTTTATTAAAGTATCCCATTTAGGTATGCCATACAAAAGACTATTTGATCGAGTCGATATGACTTTTTAAGTCCATCATACGAAAGATAATAATTTTCCCAAGCTTCGGATTGATCTCATCAACAGAGTAGCGTTTTTATATATTTCATTGGTATGCGAAGCATTATGCACATTGCCGAAGTTTAAGGGTAACATGAACATCATTATTCTTGTGTTTAAGGTTAATAAATGCATAAACTTGACCATCTTCGGCATAGAAGATGTTTGTCTGTATATACGAACGAATGAATCAATAAATCAATCAATGAAATAAAGAAAGAAAAAAGATTGGGAATGTAATGATCATCTGCGAAAACGTAAGCTATTTTTGGTGACAGGGAAGGTGGCTTATGATGCCAATCGTTCCCCTGAAAACGCGAAGTTCAGCAAATTTAACAGTCGTCGTTTTTTAAGCGGAAAAACCACCGACAGTATTCTGAACAGAAGCCTTAATTTGGATTAGCATTTTTACAAAAGCATATAAAAGAAATTTGTTTATTGTCAACTCGTAAATGCTGTACATTTCCTTTGCAGATTCGACTACGTGAACATATCAGATGGTAATAATTTTATTGGACGATACTGCGGTAACTTAACTGGAGAAGTTATTTTTGTTTCACGGGACTATCTGGTATTGACATTTCACTCAGATGGGATATTTGATCCTGACAAAAGAGGGTTTGAAATATTTTTTACGGGAGATGTTGACACGCCTGGTAAGTGAATACAAAAATCAACTAAATTACATCTATACTGTATCAATAAACAGTCGAGAGAAAGGTTGTGAGTATTAATATGAACAAAGAAGGGAAAATTCGGCTTTGATCTTTTATCACAAATGAAAACGAACGGAGTTCAGAGGGTAGAAAGTGCTCGCGGAGTTTCCCTGAATATTTCTTGTCTGCAAGTATAATGGTCAAGGAAACGACTGAAAAGGTTCAGTTCTATTTTGAGATTTATCACGAAAAAAGGACCGGCTACGTGTTGAATTGGCTGAGGAAACAGCCGACATTTCATGATTCACCACTGGTTTTCCAGCTAAATGACGTCTGCAGAAATTCGTCACTGTTTACCTGTCACTACCCAGAGCTGGGTAGTGCTTTATGATAGGTTGCCACAAACGAAATTTGCCTCAGCCAATGAGAATCACTACCCAGTTCTGCGAAGTGACACGTCACCAGTATGGACGTTCTACAGTCGTTCTTCTGACGTCATTTCGTAAGTCGACCGTTTTCTCAGGCTAGCTATTAAATTTGTACTTTGACGGTATATTTCAGCGCCTTGTCCGGTAGGCTGGATACTCAGCCTTTATGGTTCTTGCTACAAAATATCTTCCAACGAACTGAAGAGGTACAAAGCACAGTCCGCCTGTAAAGACCTAGGATCAAGCCTTGTTATACTGAAGTCGTTGGCTAAAATACAAGAGCTCATCAAAAGAACAAACAGCCAGACGTGGATTGGCTTAAAGCGTGATCTCGTGGACAATTCAAGCTGGAAATGGGTTGACGGGTCTCCGGCTTTGTATAGCTACTGGTGGAGTGGAGAGCCAAACAATTACGGAGGCAACGAAGATTGTGTTGTAATGAACCCTCACGTAGGAAAATGGAATGACCAAACGTGTTGGTATTCTCATTCTTACGTTTGTGAAGCCAACGGTAACACAATTTTTTTAAGTTTATACGATAAAAGCGTAAAAAGCCCAAGCAAAACTGTAAATAATTTGATACCTACAGCAACAGCAATAATAATTTTGATCGCTTAACCCTACTCTGTTACCTTGACGTGTAAGTCAACTATGAAGTTATTATGACACCGTTTTGACGGCCATGTTATTAAAATTTGCATTTTTCTTACAAAAAATGTTCCTTTTCAATTTTAACTAACTGAATTATAATGTTACACCTGACTATTAGTTTAGCAAATTTATGTAACTGTTAATGTAATACAGGCCTTTAAGACACTACTTTCAGAAGCAAAATAGCAGGGTTAAGTTTTTAACAGTATTCATTTCCGCAGCTAAAAAACCAAGAAAAATTTCACAGTTTCACATTACACCGAGGATGGCCCCAAACTGGTAGTAAAATGTTCTCGATTCGTTATGAAATAGGAAAAACCTAAATCGGGTGTGAACCAAGCCAAGACAAACTATAAGAGAACTGAAAGATATAATCTAATAATTAAGCTGCTGATGTTTAAATTCGACTAGCCATTATAACTAAGAAAGGCAATATGATTAAAAATTGTGCATCTAATTTTGTAGCTTGCGGTTCAGTGGTAAACAGTACTATACTTTCAAGCCTAGGATATCCGAACTACTATCCAGAAGACATGGACTGTACTTGGACTTGGAAAATTCCAACAGGAAAAATTTTGAAAGTGACCTTTGCATTTCTCGACATAGAGCCTTGGTGGAATTGTTGGTAGGCGATTTAAATGTTTTCTGAAAATTATGAAGTAGAGTTGGGTCCTTGAGTCATATTCACCTGAAATCATTGCTATAGAGCTGAACTTCTGTCAACGGGCCCTTCCCCTTAGTGGGCATTTTTCAAAGTCCCATTGGGGTGAAGCGCGCAGTTCTTTTGTTCATTTGACAATGACAGCTCTTTGAAAGGCTTGGATCTTTTGTTTTCTCAACGTAGATCATGTAATAATACTCCAGAGAAATGTTTTCTTTAAATTTCGTCTTATTTACCTGCATATGTACGCATAATTTATAAAATGATTTTTAATTTATGAAAGAAGCCATAATTTTTTTATAATGTATTCATAATTTATGACATCTTCCTGAGACCTTTATTTCGAAAACAAAAATGGTAAAAAGTAAAATAGGTAAAGAGACAAAGACACCTGGAACTGGGGTTATTAATTTAGAACACACCAGTCTGCCAAGAGGTGCGTGAATTTTCATTTGTATTTACCTTTAAGCAAATATTCAAGCACGCTTGTTATTCTGCTTCTGTCGAAACTGTTTCTTCTGACAGTTTTGTTGAAACACTGCTGAAAACAGCTTCTATTCTAGCTTGAAAATTTTTCAGAGTTTTATTGTCATAACCAATTATCCATAGTGTATTGATTCTTTTTGTAGAAGAACCAAACGTTTTTACTGTTTTAATGTACCAACTATAAGACTTCTTCGTCAGTATTAAAGGAAAGGCGTCTTTACTGTTTGGAAGATAAACAGGCCTGGACATTTAATTTTCTTGTAGGGAAGACTATTTGAGCATTTACCATCAACGCAACGTTCTGATTGGCAGATACTGCGATAATTTGAAGCACAATTTGGCAGTGATGGTTGCCGCGGATTACACAGTGATTAAATTCCACTCGAAAAACGTTAAGAGAGAAAAGCGGGGATTCAGATTGCATTTCAGTGAAATACCTCGAAGTGGTAAGTGCAGAAGGGAACCAAACGTAATTCAATTGTATAGGAAATAATCCTCAATTTTAATCTACCCTGCACGCAAGCAGAACCCCTTCGATTTCACTGGATAAGCAAAGTCTGGACGCCATCTAAACTGATGGCTATTATTTAAAATGAAGTATCAGATCCACAGCGGCGATATTTTACATATCACGTATGCCGTTTTGTAGAGATCGTCGCAGCTGCATTCTGTTAAAAGTTTACGTAAGTTGCAAAATGTTAAAACACGTCGAAATCCTAACAAAATCTCTTCCCCAAAGTTACCCTAACAAACACACACACTACGATAGGTGTATGGATTTGCTCTATGTTCGAGGGCTAGAACTGTTGCCATACTTTGAGCCAGTGGAGTGTATTCTGCATGACAGACGTTAGGTAGCGACTGAAAGACGGGCCGCAAAGGAGTTATTTGTGAACTTGATGGAAGTTAAATTTTACAGTTGATACTGAGCGCGAACCGCCTCTGCTTACTGAAGAATCGAGTATGAATCTGACCTATGAAAACGTCATGCCCTCGTGTTACAAATCCGGTAAACTATTATCCAGTCCTTGGTAGGAAGGAACGTCGCTCAAAGGACAACGAATTTAAAAAGCGAAGCCTTCGAGGGAGGCAAGAATTGTCGAGAAGAAAAACTTAGCTGGTTTTATTCGTTCACAGTCATTAGCTTCAGCGGTATTCCGGAACATTGGATAATATTTTACCAGGTCAAAATGGCGGTTTGCTCGATTTAACAGTATATGAAAAAGACAATGCGCGCTAAAAACTGTAAAATTTCACTTCAATCAACAATCAAGGTCACAAATAACTCCTCTGCACTCTGTGGCAGAAACAGTAATAATCCAAACGTAACTACGGCAATGCAAAAGACGTTGCGATAATCTCTGACTTTCTTCAACAGACCTATGCGGTTCAGCGATGAATAATATAGTAAGATCCCCTGTATACGTACAAAGTTATCCACCAAATATGCACTGCGTCTACAATATATCAGTTCCACATGGCAAACTACAAAAGCTTGTATTTCAAATATTTGATCTGGCGTTTGATCCAGAATGCAGGTTAGAACCTATTTTCCATACAATTTGTTAGTGAACGTTGTATTATTGAACTCATAACGAGAGAAACTATTTTTTTTTTACAATTTTCATTGCTGTGAGCACTAAATGATGAATTATTATCAATGATCACACTTAATTTTCTACCTATCATTTTAATGTCAATTTTGGTTCCTGCAAACGTGATGCTTCCACCAAAAGATGGTTGCCTTATAAATCTCGAGGTGAAGTGTAGCGGTTACTCATGAGCCTATTGTTATAGTGTTCCATGAAAAAAGTATGCTCCGATAATCAACACACTGCCGAAAGGTATCGATAACATCATCATTCGGGTGGTTAGGGTTTCTAGAAACAAAATTTGACGCTCGTCAGCATAGAGCATGCAGTTGAGGTTTTGATGATCACATCTTGAAAGAGGTGCAATATAAAAAACAAAAAGTAAAGATCCAAGCATGGATACTTGTGCGACACCACACTCAATACATTCGGACAGAGGTGTGCGGCTTAATGTTTATTTACACTGTAAAGGAGCAGATAGAATCAATTTGTTTAATGTAGACTCGTGAAATATTGATTGTTTTCTTTGCAGGTTTAACTACTTGAACATTTCAGATGGTAATCATCTCATTGGCCATTACTGTGGTAATTTAACGGGAAAAGTTATTTTTGTTTCACAAGACTATCTGGTGTTAACATTTCATTCAAACGAGAACTTTGATCCTAACAAAAAAGGATTTGAGATATTCTTTACGGACGATGTAAATATGCCTGGTAAGTGAATATAACAATCTTCTATCAATAATACTATGCCAATTTATATTAAAGTCCAGACACATCACAGGAAACTTATTTACAATGTTTCTCCAACATGGAAAGCGGTTTTGAAAATTTATAAACACGGTTACTTCGGTTAACAACTAAAAAAGGCGTGAAATCGAGATCAAGATGCCTAAACATCAGTACTCGCCCAGGGCTCGTTTTCCCCTCTTTTGCTTTTACCACATTTTGACGTCATCAGCGATCTATTAATGAACAGACACGCACGACATTCTAGAATATATATGTTAAAGAGAAAAGGTTAGGAGAATTAATATAATCACCAAAGGGAGAATTGGGCTTTAACCTTTTGTCAAATGAAAATAAACCGAGATGACAGAATGACGAATTGCCTTTTCGGGGGACTATAATTGTCAACGAAAAGCTTCAGTGTTATTTTAAGATTGCGCTCTAAAAAAGTGACGGCTACGTATGGAAACACCTGCGAAAACAGCCGACACTTTGCGACCTCACAGGTATCCCTGCGAAATAACGTGAAAAGAACTACTGCAGAAATTTCACACTAACTCCATCACAAGATCTACAATCCTGGTCAAAACCGTTGGGATACTTTGTGTTTCAGGTCCCCCCCTGAACAGTGTTGGGTGTTACAAGTCAAACACTTTTTACATATTTTGCATACGCTAAGGACCTCAACTTTGTTCAGGGGGGGGTGGCGAAAAATCTTATTAAGGCCGTGTTTATGAGTGTGTGTGGCAGCTTAGCTGAAAATTCCATAGAAAAACACGTGGAAAAGGGGAGGTGTCCCAAAACCTTTTGGCCAGGATTGTAGGTAGTGCCTCTGATTGCTTTTAATTAGCAACATTTCGCCGCACAACTAGACTCACGTGTGCTCTCTACCAACTGCTGTGACTCAAAATAAAAATAAGAGACTGCTCGCAGTTTAAGGCAGAACTAATTAGAAGCACTCCAAGACATAGGTACACGTATGAAATTTATGCAGTCATCCATTAGACGTCATCTTACGGAGAAACCAGTGCTGGGGTCGCGAAATGTTGGCTGTTTTCTCAGGCTACCTATTGATTAAGCTTTACTTCGACTATATGTTTCAGCACCTTGTCCAGTAGGATGGACAAACCTTTATGGTTCTTGCTACAAAGTTTCTTCCAACGAACTGGACTGGTACTCAGCAAAGGCAACCTGCGAGGAACTGGGATCAAGTCTTGTTACTCTGAAATCACTTGCTAAAATACAGGAGCTCATTAAAATAACAAATGGGCAGACGTGGATTGGTTTACAGAGGGATCTCACGGACAGTTCACGCTGGCAATGGGTTGATGGGTCTGCTGCATTTTATAGCTACTGGCTGAGTGGAGAGCCAAACAATCACGGAGATAGTGGCGAAGATTGTGTAGTAATGAACCCTCACATAGGAACATGGAATGACCAAGGGTGTTGGAAGTCTCATTATTACGTTTGTGAAATCAACGGTAACACAACTTTCTATGATGATAAGTAAGCCCACGAGTAAAAAGTCGAGTAAATTGTAAGTTTGATATGTAAACAGTACTGTCAGTGATTGTGCGGTTTACCTAAGATCCCAATGAATCTGGACATTTCCCGTACGTCATAAAAGTAGACTTTTTGTAGAATAATAAAACGAAAATCAGATTTTGTTCCAGCGACAATAATAATAGCAGTCATCAAAAACAACTTTTGATTCCCTCTGTTTACAGCTTATGATAATATTAGTTCATTTCAGAAATATTGGAGACCTTTAGATTCTAGGGAGAGAACGACTGCGAGCATGAGATTTCATTTACGTACATTTCACGTATTCTCAAAATATTAGACACCGCGGATAACTTCACTCTACATCTTTTTCACCAAAAAAATTAACGCTGTTATCTATATTGAATGAAGTTAGGCTCCCAGCTGCAAAATAATAAAACCTATAACACTTTATAACTCACTTGCGTCCGCTAACACGCTAACTTGTAGTAGAATGACGACGACTGAAATGTTTTCCGCCAAAATGACGCTGGTTCACATGCGCGCACTACTGAGTATTGAGGAAATCTGGTACTCGTAGTCGTACTCGTCTTAGAATCTAAAGGTCTCTTTTTGTCTTTCGCAGGTTGCCCCCAGGACTGGATTCAAATCCTCGGCTCCTGCTACAGAGCCTCTTCTTACGCACTGGATTGGTTCGCGGCAGAATCGGCCTGTAAGGCAATTGAATCTAGTCTTCCTATGGTGACTTCACGTGCTGAACAAAATGCCCTTGGCTCATTTCAGACACAAAGCGCGTGGACTGGTCTTTACAGGAATCCTAGTCACAATTTAAGTGGAGTTGGTTTGGTCAGTGGTTCACAAGCTAGTTTCGTTCATGAATTACGCAGTCAATTGGATAGTTTGACGGGCGAGGGAGAATGTGTAGAGATAAATTCGAAGGGAAAACTGAAAAATAGAGACTGTCGTCATCACCATCAGTACCTTTGCACAATATCGGCAGGTAAGTAACTCCAAGAAAACATCATATGTTTCTGGAAGAGTTAGAATTTTTTTCCAGATTAAGCTTGTGTGTATTGTATAGAGGTGCCAGTTAAGAATCTTAAAAAGGTACCACTCACTTAAGAGAAATGGAATAAAAAGAAGACAGAAAAATTAATACTTGATTGCAAGGTTCATTAACCTCAACCGGAGCGACCCACTCATATACTAATCACGGCGTTTCCAGAATCATAAAGTAATTTTAGATTCATTGTAAAGTACTTTTCCAGCACTGAAAAATAAATAAGCTCCCGGTAAAAAGCACTAAATGGATTTTACTTTGCTTCTCTTTTACACTCTGTCTATTTTGAAAAGGAACCAAGTGCAGAAAACCTTCACTGCGGGATGATGTGGTTGTTTCGCCTTCTGACTGTCTTTTACCAACTCACCCACACGGAAAAATTTGCTCTTTTTACTGCGCCCGTGGATATCAAGTCAGCGGTCCTTCATCTGCTCGTTGCGGGATTGGTGGATCATGGAGTGAGGATGCCAACACCATCATTTGTGATGGTTTGTATCTTGATCGTTTAAGTTTCCTTTACTCCTCAATTGTAGCGTTAAAAATAATCCATTTTTTGGATTGCTGTCAATCCAACCCGAAAGCTATTGACTTCTGCAGATTAGAGCTTCTAAATCAAGGTATTCTTCCAACTAGTAAATGGGACGCCTCATATCAAGTTTGTGCAGCATTTTTTAAATTGTCATCATTATATAGATAATCTTCAGTTTTAAAATAAATATCACCACCGCTACAACCAACACTGCCACCACCATTACCACAATTACCATTATCATCATCGTCATTACCATCATCATTATCATCATCATTAACAACAACAACACCATAGTGATAAGTATTGCTACAATCAGTAGGACCACATCATCGTCATCGTCATCACCTTTTACGTTCATCAAACCCAAGTGCATCGGTTAATGTTAAGCCAGATTACCCCGTCAAAGACGATTGCTGTTCGAGAGCCGTCGTTCTTTGTTTTTATTCCATAGAATGTGAAAAAGCTCTCGGTATGGGAGACGGAGAGATCTCCAACGGCCAAGTCATTGCTTCTTCGCAACTGGATGCCGAGCATGCAGCCATCAACGGCAGACTAAACGCTATAAGAACTTCAAATAAAGTAGGATCGTGGTCGCCTTATACCAATAATGTTAGGCAGTGGTTGCAGATAGATCGGGGCAGTCAAGAGCGCACCCTTGTAGCAAAGATTGCTACTCAAGGAGAAAATGCTAAAAGCACGTGGGTCACACATTACAGATTACAGTACAGCGACAACGGAGATAAGTTCATTGTTTACAAAGAGCAAGGACAAGGTAAAGATAAGGTGAGACGCCTCTTCTTCTCCAAAGTGAAAAAAAGCAGTTTAGCATTTCTCCAGCAACCCTTAAATACGTATATATTTTGCTCGTGTGCACTTTTGTTCAGAGTAAAAATATGTCTGGCAACCTGCTTCCTTTGAGGAATGCAGCAAGAAACGAATGTATTAACTGAATGTAACACATGTGAGTCCTACCTGGATTTTTCAGGTGTTCGATGGCAACACAGACCCGGATACCATTGTTTCTCATAAACTAAATCCACGCATAAGAGCAAGGTACATCCGTTTCCTACCAACCGCTTGGCATAAACACATCTCTATGAGGGTGGAACTCTATGGATGTAAAGGTAATTAATGAACAGATGGCTTTTAATTTCAAACATTTCCGAATTAACTTTAAATCTAAGACTTACATGTATGAAGTGGACGCCCATTCCCAACCTCCCCAAAGCAGTTTACCTTTATCTTTGATACATTTTGACGAAAGTTGAAACTTATTTTGGTTACGTCATATGAAACTATTAAAGGAGAGAGTTCAATCAATTTCCGAACAGTTTTTACAATTTTGCCCTGAAAAATTTAATTTAACAAAAAAACGGAAATTATAACATGATAGATGATAAATTACCAAAAGAAGGACGAACGAACGACTGTACAGAACACAGAAGACATTTCCCTCTAACATAGGAGGAATTAAGTTAATTTTGTGAACCAATTTAAAAAAAATAACTCTTTCATGAGTCAATCTGACAAATGATCTTTCCTTGGGAAAACAAATTTTGGCCACTGGTTCCTAGATGATTCAGAGAGAGATTGCAATCTATTTACGAACAGTTTTTTACAGTTTTACCCTGAATATGGATAAAATAGTAACAAAAGAATACAAGTGACAAATTATAAGATGATAAATGATAAATTACCAAAAAAAGAATCCACGATAAGGCGACTGTACAGAAGAAATTTCTCTTTAACATTAGAAGAATTCAGTTAATTTTGTGATCCAATTTATAAAAATAAAATCTTTCATGAGTCAATCTGACAAATGACATTTCCTTAGGGACAGCAAATTTTGGCCACTGGTTTCTAGATGGTTCTGATTCAGATGTAAGGTTAGTATAACATATAAATACGTTATTGAAGGAACATGATGATAATGAAGACGATGATGATGATGATGATAATCATCATCATCATCATCATCATCATCATCATCATCATAATATTCATGGTCATCGTCATCGTTATTGTACGTCAACGCCTTTCGTCATGGAAATTTTATCATAATGTTCTCCATGCACTTGATAAATATTCACAAGTCACGCATCAAGGGAGAGTCCCTTCATAATTTGTCGTAGTTTTCAGAAACTTTGAAAGATCTCTTGTGGTATGCTCCTTTTAAGGTTATATTTGATATTTATTTTAACAATCATTGCTCTAATTTTCATTTCGTAGTTTTTTTGGTGCGGTCAACTACACTGAAGGTTGGTGCCTTGGAAGTAAAGCGGCGTATTTCAGTCAAAAAGGCTCCTTTGTCACCGTGCCCAAAATGAACATTACAAACTGCGACTTTACAATTGCTTTTTGGGTTAAAACCGATGGTATTGAGGGACCTTTAATGGCGATTTGGTCTGTGAGTGGAAAACTATTTTACGCGGCAATAAAGAATTCCAGTGTCATCTTGTCGATACATAACACTATAGCAAAAGCAAACTTCGCAATCAGTGACTGGAATCATGTTGCCATTACCTGTGAGGAGTCTAAGATCAAGGTGTTTGTAAATGGAACAGAAATTTTAACGAAGGAACAATGGAGCGAGTTCTTCTTCTTAACGTCAGACCATCTTGAGACGGAAAATGTGATAGGAAATCATCCAGTCCTGTTCAAGTTGCCATTGGTAAATAAACCTTTTGTTGGGGCACTGATGGACCTTCATGTAATCGAAACTGCCTTGTCTGCAAATCAGATTTCTGACTTGAGCAAAGGTAATCTGTTGTCATTAGGGAGTTTAACCAAATGAGTTTTTGAGTGACGCACGTCGACCGGAAGTGAGCCGTTTTCGCTCTTTATACATCTTGACGCTGCCAAAATTGTAATGCCTCGTTGTCTTGCTCTTATTAGGGACTTGACGATCGGACGACGCGACGGCAGCCAAAACGTTGCTCCGCTAGGGCGCAAATGATGCTACTCGTGCTACAAATAAACTATATGCCCCCCAAAAGTCATGTGATTGTCGTAGTGATCTAAAAATGCATACGGGTTACGCTGAAAAAACGGAAGTAATTTTGAGGTGGTCAAGAACTTGAGCGTCTTGTTAGACGAGATATCTAAACGGGGCTGATTAAAGCAGCTGGAGTGACAACCCTACAGTCGCGAAAGAATCCCCATATTTTGGTGCTCCAACTTAATTGATCAAAAACAAAAGAATTAAACTGAATCCCTTGTAGCCTACACACAAGTAAATAACTAACTGATGACGATATATTTTTGTGAACCTAAGGCACGCCGAAAACCCCAGTTATTAACATAAAGGAAAGCAAGATAAATGGTTGCGCAGTAAACCTCACATGGAGTCGTGACGTGTGCGCCACTACGAAGAACACCATACGGTTTAGGGTGATAAATCCACAGGGCTACAGAGCAGAACGCCGCGTAGAAGAGCATACTTCAGCGAAATTATATCATCTATTGACACTTGACTGCGACAAAATCTATCAGATTGAAGTGTCTTCGTGGATTGGAGAACGTCAAAGTGACTGGTCTACTCCTTGGCAAGTTCAAACTAACTCACCCAAGATAAAGCAGGAAACACAAGACGTCTACTGTAAGTACCGCAAGGGAACAAAATATAGATTGTCTTAACCCAAGCCGCGCTGGCGTTCCTCCTAAGCAGACATTCTTAGGGCCTCGTCACGCGTCGTTGCGTGATAAGTCAAAAGGACGTCTGCGCGGAACGCTACTTCCCCCAGGACCAGTGAGGCTTTATAATTCGTTCAGAACCGTAAGTTCACGGATGATGCCATTAGATTAGAAACAAACCAGAAAATGCCGGCCGCCAAAAAAAAAAGTCCTTGATGTACTTATGATTCATCTCTCTATTATTTTGAAAGGGGTAAATGGAACAGTAAGTTATTGCCACAATAATGACCGTCGATCAAGTCACGTTCAAGGAACGAGAACATCCTCTACCTTACCCTAGGCGCATTATTTTTCTGAAGAAGGCCTAACTAACTAGACATTATCCTATTTATAATATCCGTCAATTTTTTTTTAATACAAAACAAACTCCTGCAACCGAGACAATAACACCTATCCTCTTGTGGATGATGTACATAATTTATTTCTGTCTTTCCAGCTAACGATAACGCTACAAAAATTTTGGGAATAGTTCTTGGAATCACCGTTACTCTTGCGGCAGCAATTCTCGTAGGGATCTACCGAAGGAGGCAAAAAAGGGAAGAACGGTATGCTTAAATGTCACTGAAAAGTCAAGAGGGTTTACTCTAGGCATGTTTACAAAGTTGGGCACTGACAATGACACTCGCGTCATATCCGACAATTTCTTTGAAAAGTAGTTTGCTCGGACTCGAAAACCGATTTGTTTGCCTGGTGTATTTCCGATTGACGGAGGATCTAAATACAAAATCGGGCCAACTTTTCTGTTCGCCATATATTTTCGTTAAAAAACTTGGCAGACAAACCGTTACGTATAAACTGGCCTTTACATTATACATTACAATATGTGCTACATGCCGTAACTTTAACAGAAAGGTACAGTGTGTTTCGTTTGTTAGATTGTTTTTCTTGTATTCGCTTTCAATACAGTTTATTTTTCGACAGCCGACAGGTACATAGCGTGCCCAGACTAGAACGAAGACAGAAATGCGCACTTGACCCCAGTTTCAACAAAAGGCAAATTGTAGTCAAGGAATTCTATTGGTCCCAATAGGAAAGGAACTTTCCGTAATGTGTCTAAACAACAGAGGCGGCGGAGCCTTTCGAAACGTGGGGGGTGGGGTGGGGGGTCTCGCCAAAGGGTCTTTTATACACTGTTTTTTTCCCGTTCATTGACTGACGGCTGTGCCACGTTGAAGAGCCCCAATAAGGGCGAAACAGCTGTCCATGGCTGCCACTGCCCAAATTTGAACACCTCCTGGTTAGCTCACTTGGGAGAGCGCCGGTCTGCTGAGCGCGTTTTTCGTTAGCACAGGCAAATCTTTTTGTAATCTTCACAGTGTCTAGTGTGAAGATTGCAATTTGTGACAATGCTTCAGCAGGAATTTGTTTAGGCGGTCCTGATTCGTGGTGCTTTTAGGTAGCAAATCGTCTAGTGAGGGCAGGAAATGTGCGCTTTAAAGTCGCTGATGTCACAGGTAATGTTAAATACATCCGTAATGGCGATTACGGACAAAAGTGACCCCCTCACAAATTTTTGTTTGGGGGGGGGGGGGAGGGGCTACGAACCTCCCTGCTCCGCCGCCTAAGCAGTAGGAAAAACCTTTCTTCCTCTGCAGTTTCTTCATAGTTCGATCCTGTGCAAAACGAAATTTTTAACTAATATTGGATAATTCTTATTTAGATCCAAGAAAGAAATTGTTCAAGGAACTTGGTCGAGGGGCTTTTGGCAAGGTTCATAAAGGTGTGATGAAGGAGGTAACAAACGCAAATATATATTCCGATACCAGTGAAAGAAATCCAAATGTACATTCCAAGGACAGCCTACGAACATTGAAGGACAATGAAGGACGAATTGTTGCTGTTAAAGTCCTTCTTGGTGAGCTACTAAGCCATTTTCGATGAATGTTTACAAATCATGTTCAATCAGCACGTTGTTAACGTAAATAAAGTTTGTGTAACTTTAGTATACTCGAAGTTCACTTCCATGCGGGATCAAGGCCTCTACTTCCGACAATGCAATGGAAAATAGCTTAACTTACATGTGACGGACATCTTGTTGATGCTAAAGCTAAAGTCAAACCTCCATAATCGGCCACCTCTCTACAACGGTCACTATTTTCTGTCTCTAGGGACAGTCTACACAATGACTCTTGTTTAAACGTCTCTTCAACAGCAACAGCCACTAACGCATGACCCCAACTGCCAAAATAACCTGTAAACAACGGCCAGTTTTTCCGCCGACTGATGAAAAAGTCAAGAATGATCATGGAACTTGATCCGTATGGCGCGTTGATGATTAATCGCGGCAATCCTATATATTTTGATTGTGTTCCATTTATACTGCTGCAGCAAGCATAAATTGTCTGCGATACGTCTAGCCATTGCTGCGAACTTTGCTCGTTTTGTTACGTTAACATTTTGATTCAAAACATGATGCCCTTCATCATCACTTTCTTTGAATGGCTAAGCAGTTCACAAACCCTCTCGATATTGTTTTCCTTGACTGATTTTAACTGATATCCTTTTGTTCATTAACTCCCGTTTTGTTTAGAAAATGCTGGAGAGGAGGAAAAACGACAGTTTCTTCAGGAAATTGACCTCATGAAGGACGTTGGATCGCATCGAAACATTCTTAGCATACTCGGTTTTTGGATTCGGTCGGAGCCCATTATGTTGATCATGGAGTATGTTCCTCACGGAGATCTTCTGCAGTGGCTTAGAAACAAAAGACAGCAAATAAAGCATGTTACTGTATGTATCGATTTTTTGCCATTTTCTCCCTAATAACAAAATTTATATCAGCTTATTTGTTGTCCCGTTACATTTCCGATAAATGTATAGCAGCCTGGAGCATTTCTCAAAATATAAAGTAAATTCAAATTTTTTGTACATGTCTTCAATTTCTGTTAACAAATTTATGAAGCATTGATAATACAACCAGAAACATAGTAACGACTGTTTGGGTTAAAAAATGATGAACACAAGGGAGAGTAGACACTCGGGCGAAAGGGCGGACGTATATGCCCTACTCAAAGGTTATCCTCTAATTTGTTTTAACCTGAATTTTCGGTAAAATTCAGGGTGACAGCAAAGATGATGGCCATTTTTAGTGAAGCCACTAACGGCAACGACATTTCCCACAACATTTCTTTCACCTTGCGAAGCTTGTCGCATGCAGTCTATAATGAAAGTGTTTTGCATATTTAAAACATCTAAGGAGAGCCAAAACCACTGTGGAACCACTTTTACATTCTATATCCAAAAGTTGATATGGCCTTCTTAAAAACGGGTAATTTATTTGGTCTAAAATCAGAAAATCTTATTTCTAAAAAAAGAAATATCTAAAATAAGCTGTATATGTCGTATGGTTATTGCGCTTTCGTCTGTGTAGAAAATGATCTTTTGTTTTGGCTCTGGTAAAAATTGCTTTACCAGTCTTTACTATGCAGAATATTAATTTGTAAACTTAAATCATGTTTGAACTACTTGCAGCTTACAAAGAAGAATAATGACCATACCGATGTCTTAGAAAGTCTGAAGAATAACATGAATGGTCGAGAGATAAAAGAAGGGAAGATTAAAAATGAAAAACACGAGGAAAATGGTTCCATGCAACTGCAAGAACTAGAAAATCCACACAAATCCAAGGTAACCGATGTTGACACCAATGTTGATCGCCTACTTGAAATACTACCTCAGTGTTCAACTTTGGAAAAAGAAGAGACAACATCGCTAGGGGAGAGTTCGAGAAATCTTCCAGAAGTTGCTGCAAACCTTGTTATGGTAGGAGGCGAAGGACCCACTCATCAGCTCACGACCTATGACGAACCGAAGGGAAGCGATGGAATAACCTTGACTATAGAAACAGAGGATAGGAACAGCGACGCTGATGGAAAGCAAAAGAGAATAGAAAGTTCGGAAAACGAGACAAGCAAGTCCAAAGACGATGCCATGAACGTATACGTATCATCTCCAGAAACCAAACCTGGTAAAGAAAACGAAAAGAGGTTAAAGTCATTACCATCGACCTTTAAAGACGACCAGTTTCCTGGATCTCTTGAAAGGACCACAGTGAAAGCCTCTACAGAGCACGACGAAGGCTCTTGTGACATCGACAATAAAGATCACGTTTTTTCTGCAGATGATATAATGAGTTTTGCGTGGCAGATTGCTAAGGGAATGGTAGGTTATTCCTTTGCTATGGGAAAGGAATCATACGAACAAACACTAACAAATACATCCGAAAACAAAGATTTTGTTTTTATGCCTAAAGTTTAATATATATTCGACAGCGACTATACCGTGAAATAGAGGCACTTCGGAAACTATCGCACGTATACTACAACCTCACATCCTATGCGTTGTAGACAAAGCGATAACCACTTTACGACGACTAATTGCTAATGTCAAGGACAAAGAAAAACCGGAGGACAGACAGGGAGCAATATACAAGATAAAATGCTACAACTGCCAGGCTACTTACATTGGTAAGACCGGCAGAAACCTAAGCACGCGACTGACTGAACACAAACGAGCGACAAGAAATGGTGATGTCAACAATCACATTGTGGAACACCATTTACAGACGAAACATCAAATCGAATTGTAGTACGTACTGTATATACTACTATCAACGACTCACTTTAGAAGGTTGATTTACAAACTTAGAGCAAACCCCACTAAATCGTAGTCAACAGTTACTGGCACCGTACAAACGACTAATTGATGGCCTTCAAGCAAAACTAACTACAAGAGGGTGACTGGACAACCGACAATTTGACTAACAATAAACGACTGTTAAACTGTGACAAATGCGATAGACGGATCGATACGCACCATAGCCTTCATACGGTCTTCATGGCCAATAACATTACGGGTTAATTGGCAGACGACCAATAACATCGCGACTTAACTGACCAAACAGGCCAATAATCAGAGTTTAATATCATTAACTAACGTGATACAACTCACTTTGACTCTGAAGATGACTACCGCACAGGTTGTCGAAACGTCAGTCACTGTCAAAAACATTCCAATTCAGGACTTCATTCACCCGAACGATCAATATCAACCAACTTATGAAATGACCACTGGGTTCAAACCATTCACAGCTAAAAAAATCTGTTGCCCACAAAAAAGGGTCAAAAATACTCAAATAATGGCTTCACCTCATTACGTTTTGTCAGAACTGCATGGGAACTATTAGTAACTAGAAAAATCTGTCTGAGAAGAAAATAAGCAGCTACAAAGGAGAAAAGGGATCAGGCAAACGGCTAACAAGTAGATAGAAAAGACTAAGTTTTAAATCATCATTTTATCAGGAATACTTGGCCAGTAAAGGATTTGTTCATCGCGATCTGGCAGCCCGTAACATCTTACTTGGTGAAAACAAAGCGGTGAAGATTTCTGATTTTGGTATGCTACGCCGCACAGGTGAAAGTGAGATATACGAGGTGGCCACCGTTAAGAAACTGCCCATAAAATGGACAGCACCTGATTCATTGGAGACTGGAATTTTTACTTCCAAGAGTGATGTGTAAGTTAAAATTAAATTTTGCAAAGTTTCTTAGGCCTATCGTCACCTACAACACAGGTATTAGAACGAGCCACATACCAAGACTAAAAAAAAAGAAACCTACTACTGAGTCAATTCCTCCCTAGGCCTTGTTCGCCAGAGACAATTTTTGGAAATTTTCCTTGATAATTGTTCTCTTACCATTTACCATCCCTTTCTTTTCAAAGGGGACTGGGTTTGAATTTATTCCAACCAAAAGAAGGTTAACCTCCCACGCAGGCGTTTTTAGGGAAGCTCGGATTTCGTCCCTCCCAACAAACTCCTGCTCAACCGAGAACAACATCCCTTTCCCAAGCTTAGCCAATCACATTGTATCTTCCAAGTTCTGGAAGGTTGAACTTGACCGCAGGGTTACCCGATAATTACTCGATCTGTATGGAACACTGGGAAAGCTATATGACCTCTAGTAAATGTTAGATTCAGAGCNATACGAGGTGGCCACCGTTAAGAAACTGCCCATAAAATGGACAGCACCTGATTCATTGGAGACTGGAATTTTTACTTCCAAGAGTGATGTGTAAGTTAAAATTAAATTTTGCAAAGTTTCTTAGGCCTATCGTCACCTACAACACAGGTATTAGAACGAGCCACATACCAAGACTAAAAAAAAAGAAACCTACTACTGAGTCAATTCCTCCCTAGGCCTTGTTCGCCAGAGACAATTTTTGGAAATTTTCCTTGATAATTGTTCTCTTACCATTTACCATCCCTTTCTTTTCAAAGGGGACTGGGTTTGAATTTATTCCAACCAAAAGAAGGTTAACCTCCCACGCAGGCGTTTTTAGGGAAGCTCGGATTTCGTCCCTCCCAACAAACTCCTGCTCAACCGAGAACAACATCCCTTTCCCAAGCTTAGCCAATCACATTGTATCTTCCAAGTTCTGGAAGGTTGAACTTGACCGCAGGGTTACCCGATAATTACTCGATCTGTATGGAACACTGGGAAAGCTATATGACCTCTAGTAAATGTTAGATTCAGAGCAGCAAAAGTAAGATTTATTCAGGTTTTAGAATACTTCGTGCACTGCATAACTTTAGCCTTAGAAAGAGAAGAAGGAAAAAGGTAACTCTAGGGTCACGTTTTTACACTACCATGAGCATATGAGTCGTGTTTAGCCCATCAACACTTTATTTCAAAACTGTTTATATGAATTGGTCACTTCAGATCACGCGAATAAAATAATGAAAAAGGAATGTTGTTCTCGGTTGAGCAGACTTTTGTGGGGAGGGACGAAATACGAGCTCCCCTAAAAAACCTGTGTAGGAGGCTAAAAGAAGATTGAATACGTCCTAGCTTCCGATTTTAGAGCCTGTGTTTAAACCTGACTTTCCCAGTTACATAATAGGCCACTTGCATGGTGACCTCATTTTATAACTACTACTAGAATCCTTCAGGGTTTTGCTTTCTTGTGCAAATTAGGGCTTTTGCTATTTAAAATTCACTGGGTTTACCAAATTTCAATATCAAACAAAAAAAGAAATAAATTCTTGTCTTAGAAGTAAAAAGACGTCATCGTGCAAATGGCTTATTTACTGTAAATCGTGCAAATGGCTTATTTACTATATTTCTCTCCGGGGATGACTACCATTGAAGGGCAGACCCTCCACTGAGTAAAACTCTGTGTCACTGCATGCTTCCCTAAGAACCTCATGATGAATAGAGTCATAGCAAGTGGTCAGCAGGCTGTTATTTTGTTCATACCAAGACACCCTTCTCAAATGTTAGCATGGAATAAAACTATTGACCTTTCCGGCTACCTTTTAGAAAAAAAATACAATTATTGATGTAAGGATTCGCGGACAATCAAGAGTAATTTCTCTCTTCCTCTTATCAGAACTTTTTAATTGATAATTGTTGAGTTGTTTTACCGATTATTTGTTTTCCTCATACTGGTCCTTCTTCCTTAGATGGTCCTTCGGAGTTGTTTTGTGGGAAATGGCTACCATGGGTGAGATATCTTTAACGCTTTGACTGATGTAAGACCGGAAGTAGAATGATTGTCTATTGCATTTGTTTGTTTGTTTTACTAATAAATTCTAACAACGTAACTCCGTATCCAGATCTCTTGTCGAGGAAGCCAAAGGCGAGATCTGGTCAAATACGTACGTCATGTGATCGCCGGTCAGGCGCACTCCCTCACAATCTTAACAGTAAGAGTAACCAATGAAATTTGTTGATTTACAATGAAGTCCAGATATAGCGCGCACTCTGTTTGGTTGCAAACATGTGCTTTATGAAAGTATAAATACCCAGCTAAGTGTCGCACCATCTGCCGAAAGTTTGTTTGGAAAATTAAAAAGTGATTTATGGGGAATTTAACGGATTCTTTATCATGAAACAAATAAAGAAGCCTTGACACTGTGCTCTGTTTAGTTGTAAAGCACGCAGAAAACGGCAAGAGCACTTAGGAAGTAGAGAGAAACACTCCACTAGGTCTCGGTTTCCCTCAACAATTCTTTCCTGCTTTAGCTGCTTCCGGCGTGCTTTACAACAGAACAGAGTATAGTCGAAGCGATCTCGTCCTCGGCTTCGTCGACAAGAGAGCTGGGTACAAGCTCACTATCAACGTTGTGAGTTAATCTGTCACGTGCCAGAATAACTAAAAGTTCTTGACAGACGTAATGTTGGCTTAAAAGTTCTTTGAACCTTCTCAAATGATATTTCAATTAAAAATTTTAGGGGGGACTCCTTATCCCAGAATCAGCCATGCCCAGTTGTACAATCTCCTTAAGAAGGGGTATCGCATGGAACAACCAAACACTTGCAGTGATGAAATGTAAGTAAAGTTATTACAAATGACTCGCAATTAATATCTGTACCAAACAAGAAACACGATATTTTTTAAAAACAACATTGTTACGCTATAGGCATAATAATCTTTTTAGGAAGGTAGGAAGTGACAGTAAAAAAAAAAACAATCATGACTCTCTGGCGAGTACTCGTGCGTCTTGATTGCGACAAAAATCAATGCAACTGGCGAATATAACACCAACGCAAGTAGATCCATCAAAAACAACCAGGCTTAACTCTATCTCTACCAGACGAAGTAGAATCATACCCCAATTTCATTCACGTTTCTTTGACGTCATGAACGTTAAGAACTACCCGCTAATGCTCCGCTTTAAAATGCATAATTTCATCCCTTCTATACTACTCACAAGGGAAATTTCGTTTTGCTGAAGTAAAAACCAAATCTCAGGTAATCTCGCTCGGCAAAACATGGCAATGTAAATAGCTTGAACCCAGTATTTCGTCTCGTAACTAGGTGAAATGTGATCATTCAGGTGAGTATACTTATTGAAAAGATTGTTGTTAACAGCGATTGCCTATTCGACAACAACGATCATCAGAGTTCAAAGTGAGTTGCGTGCCGTAGCTTGACGACAATTTTGGCTATCGTCATAATTGGGAAACTTGACCAAAGCATAAGCCATTATATTTTTTTCTCGACAGGTACAAGTTAATGCTGGACTGCTGGAGGGATGATCCGAATGAACGACCCGCATTCTTCGAAATGATACCAACCCTTGAACAAATGATGACAGCTGATACCCCATATTATGATTTTACACTGTTAGATGAGAGCCAGGAATGTTACAATGAACAATGCCCCAGCACCAGCGAAACCCTCGACACTCTCTTGTGATGACTCCAAAGTGAGTCGACCTGACGTGTTACTCTGTTAACGTAGGGCTAGTTTGCAGATTACTCAGTAAAATCTACTTAAGCTTCTGACATTATGGAGGCTGTTTAGGGGCGTAGAATGTAGTGATGATCAAGGTAACGATAACAGGTGCTTCACTTCAATATTATATAGATTTAGCCAGGCCTAAAAGCGAAGCTTCCTTCTGTATACTGATAACAAAGGCAACAAATTTAAAGCCATTATTATAAGGTTAAATATCCAACTTTAGTCCCCTCCTTAGGAGAGAGGGGTTGGCTGATTTAAGACAAAATGTCCTTTAACATATCTAAAATCAAATAACTCTACCACTGAGCTAACAGACTAATATTTACAGCAAAACGTAATTGTAGGTCAAGTTCGATCACTGTAGTAAGCCTGGAAATGAATTCTTCCCAAACTATACCACAGAGAGTCTGAGAACTCCTAACGCCACGCCGGGAGCGGGAAAGAGGAGCAAAGGATAATTTTTATATGAGGATCATTTTTCCATATCCCCCACAACATTAGAGAACATCATTTCTGATAATAACGTCCACTCAAGTTCAAGATTATCACAAAGACCTTACTTTTAGTACTATACTTAGCCGGTGAATTCTGAAGTAGATAACGAGCATAAGGTGTGTTGATGCTTTTGTAATAATGTCACTTGACCGTTACCGAGGAGACCATGGGTAATCTCAAGTAGTTTAAGGCCTGGGACTAAGGGGTTTACCTGAGTCAAAATTTGGCACATGTAAAGAACTCATCGTCCTTAACATTTTAAAGTATGAATATTGTGTTAATAAGTCACGTGATCTGTCACGTGACCGCTTTGCTAAAAATTGTAAATTATTGACCAATTGGTGGCCGGTTTAAGAAAAGAAATCCAGCAATAACATTTTTCTAATTCATATTAAATATTTCTAACACTAACACAGGACCATCCCCATGATTGTCCATTGCCCTTCAATATGAAATTATGAAGGAAAACATCATCTTAAATGCCCAAATTTAATCTTGAATTATTAAAAACTTTAATTTTAAACTTCAGGTACATTCATTCTAAATGTAGAAAGTTAGGTATGTTTATCCTGTTTCAGAAATGCCAATTTGTTTATCCAAAAAAAGTAAATTCGCCACCAACTTGCCAATTTCCCTCATTCTCAATTTTTGGTCACACGACATGTCATATCACCATAATTAAACGTTAATAAGGCACAAGAAAACCTCAAGATTTGCCTTTGGGAAAAACTTCATTTTGTTCTAGTTCTCCTAGCGAGAGATATTGCCAATCATTCATATGGTCCGAAACCTTTTACCCAGGCTTTAAACCCCATGAGACGAGCGTGCGTGGCCCCAACAATGTTGGAAGAGCTGTGCAAACGGATCCAACATTTTTGCGCTATGCTTCGGGCAATCAAGGAACAAAAGAAATGTTGGGTTGTTGGCTCAGTAGTTTGACCAATTTCAAACTTTGGACAACAACTCCCAACAACATGCAACAGGGTGAGCAAAGGGACGAAACATGTAACATTCAACAATGTCGGGAGTTGTTGGCCAACAATGTTGCGTTCGTTGGCACGGGGCTTTAGAATAAATTGTGACGGAACCTTTTTTTTCGGAAGAGCATCATTTAAAAGAAAGGTTTCCTTCCAACAGGCAATAAATAGACATTTTGCATCAAGTTGAGTTTTACAAGCATGGCTGTGTCTATATAGGAGTCAGAGGTGGCCATAGATTTGTGTAAAGAACGGTTCTTTTTAATAGCGAGAACGTACTGGTTTAGGATATTTAAATTGTTTTCCTTCATTAGCTTCTGACTGCTCGCTAGACCATTTGACAGTTACGAGCTTTATTAGGTACCCTAGCCTGTGAGTGAACGTGAGGCTGAGCTTGACCTTACTTTGATACATTAAACCTCTTTCCTTTTCTTACGAAAATCCTGCTAATAAATACTAGTTAGCATAAGAACAACATGATTTACCTAATAAAGCAGGAAGAGTTTATGTCAAAACAAGGTCAAGTCTAGCCTTGTTTCCACCCGTAACTGTGAAAAGGACTATTTCAGACTGTTTCACACAGTTTAGTAATATCAAAAGAGTCGAAACATATGCTCATAACTGATAAAAGTCTGGGGTTGTACGGAAAGTTTTACCGTTATTTATATTCTTAAATATAACTAGGGCTAAATTATAACGTTTGGCTTACTTACAAACGCGTCCATCCAACGGCTGTACATTGCTTCCAGAGTCGATTTAGTAAGTTCCACCATGCCTGTGTTCTGTTCAGAAGAAAATATCAAGTGTTAAAAAAAATAATAAACGGATCCAGGCGTTGATGAAAACCTCTAGACGTCAGTGCTGTGTCCTTTTGGTGTTACTTTCCCCAAAAACTGTTATCATGAACGTTCAAGCTTCCGATTTGCTGCCACATTGGTTTCTTGGATTTTATCTTGAAACCAGGCTTCACTCAATCACAATTTTACTGACGGGGAAGGCATGGTGAAGAGCCGTACTTATCAAGACGCTCATTGAGCGTGGGCTCGGGCTACCTTTGATAGCTACAGTGGATTTGGAGAAAACAAATTGATTTCCCCGTGTGACAAAAGCGTGACTAGAGCCCAACCTATCTCCCCAGTGGAGTGTACCGCGCTGGATCGGACCGGTAGGACCAAAAACCTCACGCAACCTAAAAGCCTTACTCTCCAAGGCACTACAGTCAACTCTCGCCTTGTGGACACCCCGCTATTACGGACACCCCGATAATACGGACAGCAGCTAAATCCCCGGCAAAAATTAATTACAGATGTTTGACTGAAATAAACTCCCGCTATTACGGACTTTCGCTAACGAAGACACTAACGCGAGTTCCCTAGAATGTCCGCAATAAAGGGAGTTGACTGTAGTGCGACAACACGAAGCTTGGGGAAGTCGCCACGAGACTTAACCGATAGCCAGATACGAGGGGTGAACCACATTTTGTTTGTATGACAACAGGTAACAACAACAACGCCTTTCAACTGGGAGGGAAGGAGGGAAAAAATTACAATATTTACGAGTAAACTGTTCAGTAAGCAAGGCAGCTAAGCTAATGATGAATTTTGCCTAATATAACCTTTTTACAGCTATACATAAACATACGTCTAAAGCTAAGCAAATGGACGGTCGCGTACAATAGTGTTGCAGGAACACACGGTGCATACAACGAGACATGAATAGAGGTATTTATTGAATGTAGCCATACAGAACGAATGTTACAAACGTACTAGACAGTGTTGCGACATTTTGACCTTGGTACCTCTCTGTACCATTGTACTAGGATGCGACAAAGATATTAACTATTGTAGATTCATGGTGCGTTGCATGGTACGAGTTGCTTCGCTCATAAATTGTAAATTGTAAATTGCTTTTTTACCCACGAAGCACTTAAGAGTTCATATGAACTCGTTTAAACGTGTCCGTGCGTTCCAGATCGAATTGGAATTTGGAGGTGTTGTTTTTGAGGAGAGGGGAAAACCGGAGTACCCGGAGAAAAACCTCGCGGGGCAAAGGAGAGAACCAACAATAAACTCAACCCACATATGGCGTCGACGCATATAACGAGGTCATAACAATAACAATCCCCGAGAGCTCTAGGCGTCACGCTCTAACCTGAGATCAGGCGTTATTATTGTTGTTTAAGTACGTTCAGATGGCGCTTCCTAAAAAAAAAAAGTTTAAATGTTTTTTGTGTGTGTGATGAAATACTGCTAGCTGGAGCTGCCGTACCTTTCTTTAACAGCTACAAATAATAAAGAATTTACTGGTAAAAGTTCGTTGACCTCGTTCTGTGCCGAAAGCAGTGAAAAACAAAATTAGGCTGAAGCACCATATTTCACGAACTGAAAAGTGTTGTGAAAGCGAAGATGGCTCAGAATAATTCGCAGGTTTCTGAACGAGGAATTACGGTCAAATCAGGTCAAGATTCCATTCATAAATTAATTATTTGAAAAGTGAACCCGTTTGTCGCTTAAGCCGGTATCAAATTGCATTCAAACGATCGGTCAATTTTTGACTACAAGTTTTAGTTTACGATAAAATGGAAAATATTTCAGTTGATGAAATTTCTATTTAGACTTTTTTCAAAATCAAGAAAACTGAGCCGGCAGAAATTTCATAACGAACTCGCGTGTGTATTCACTGCTCATTACGCAAGCAAAAATGCAGACTGAAATCAACAACAACTAACGGATGGCAGCGTTTTGGCCAATCGGAACAGCGCAAATCATCCGTATTGTTTCCTATCCAATCAGATAAAAAGTCCAGATTCTGGCTTTTTTGCATGTGACCTGTAAAAGAAATGTATCATGCCTTCCTCTCGAAAACAGATTATAGAGACATAGGGAGAGGGCATGATCGCAGGTTAGTCACGCCCCATTAACTGCGATTTACTGTTTCACTGTTAATCTTTGTAAAAAAAAACAACAACAATTTCAATATAAAAAACAAGAAAATATCTCAGTAGTAAGCAACAGAAAAATACACGGGAAAGAATGTAGATATGACAAAACCTCTCCTGTTAGCATGGATAATAGAAAGACTGGATAGGAAACTTATGTCACGTGGGCTGATTTCTTATCGCCGATTGGTTGGTTCGTGCTCCAAGAAGGCGTTGGACGGTTCCATCATAGCGGAAATTTGTGACGAAACGATGGCGAAAATGTGGCGCAAACCAGTCGAACTGTAGGGTTTCTTTGCCTGCATGTTGTTCTTTTTCGGATTTTTTAGTAGTACTTTAATTTTTGTTGTGTGTGTTTTCCCTTCGTTTATTGTCTTACGGCGATGGCGATCCTTCAAAGCCACACTTGAACCTTCGAGGTAAGAACTTCTTGTTGTTGTTTTGTGTTATTTGTCCTTGACTTTGAGAATATTGCGTCCCAAAAATTGACCTTGCCAGAGCCATATTTAGTATGAAGGTTTCTTCTTGTTCCTATTCTTAACTAT